AAGTAAAAAAAACTTGTTTCTGGGAAACAATTCTTATTTTTCGTCTAAAAAGTTGAATAATCTTGTTAAGAATGTTTTGCTTAAAGGTGCGGTAGATAAGTTTGAGAAACCGACTCGAGATACACTTTTTGTTATATTCCATGGAATGCTCTAAACATCCTGATAGCAATGAATATCTTAAGTGCTTTGACAAAAAATCCATAACAAAATATCATCTGTGGAAGCCGTAGTACTGTAAAAAGCACGACCAATCATCTGAGCCGGCCAGGCTAAAGTAACTGGATGGCCTACCTGCCTGTCAGCCTTCCATCTGTGCACAAACTTATCTCGTGCCCTGATTGGTCATGTGCGCGTTCGTGTGTGTTGGAGGAGGGGCTCTGTAAGGAAGTGGCAGATTTTTTCCAGTTGTGTATTTTCAAATTCTAGCGCACTCGAGCTGGTTTCTCCGAAATTACCTACCCCACCTTTAAGAAAAGTATTCTTACTTTGAGAAAATATATCTTACTTTTTCTTATTAAAAAATGTTATCTTATATTGAGCTAGAATTATTTATTCATTGTTGAGAGCTGTCGACAATGAATAAATATATATGAAATTTAAAATTGGTGTCTTTTCATCAGATTCTTAAATTGAGAAGTTGTGTGATTGTTTATTTCTTAAAATAAGAAAAAATAAATCTGTTCCATGCCGGGAATTTATGCAAACCAATACTTTAACTTGTCACTGGTTAATTCTATGAACAAATGTAATAGATAAACAGTTAAAATAGTCAGCTAAAATGTATGGATATTCTTTTTTGTACCTTAACAATACAACTAATGCTATTAATACTTACTCAGCGGGGGTAATGTTAGCATCGGGACGCGCACACAAGTTTCAGTCACACAGTCAACATTTCTCGGAATTTTCTAGTTTCATAAGAGATTCCAAAAAGAAGTGCCCTGGACTGCCTTTTTTCAAAACACAAGACAATATCAAATAACTGATAATACCGGTTATATATACAGGGTGCGTACGGGTGCTGGAAATCCTTGAAAATGCTTGAAATTGTACGAGGTGTTTTCAAGGTTTGAAAAGTGCTTGAATTTGGGATAAAGTGCTTGAAATTGTAAATGCTTTACTTCGCTTTTTAGATTAAAAGAAAATAAAGAAGTCGGAGCGCCTTAATTGCTTCGCTTTTACATAAAACAGCTCCGCTCCGGCCTTCCCGCGCAATGCGCGTGACCGGCAAGTGTTTTTGTTACGTGTGTGACCTGGGCATTCTGATGAGAGTGATAGATGACAGTATGCCAGGAGGTTGCCGTTTCAACGAGCGTTGGCTAGCAGAAGACAAATACAAGCCATGGCTAAGACGAGGGTCAAGCGAAGCCCAAGAGTAGCCTCCTGCAAAGTGTGCAACAATAACGATGCGAGAGTCTGCGCTGACGAGCCACACACCACACGAAAGGTACGCTGTAGTAGAGCATTTTAGATTAGGCTATCGTTGCATGTAAAATACATGACACTTTTCTCTGTGCGGCAAAACAAGCTCGCCAAAATGGCTTCACTAGTCTGGCAGTATTTTAAGTGTCCGAAAATGACAATAAAATAGCGGCATGCAACGTGTGTGTGAAGCAGAAATCCTGCAGCTCCACCCGCTGTGACGGACCGGTGAGCGGAGCAGAACACACATTAAGAGTTAGACCTAACGCACTTAGCTATTTTATCTACCTCTGGAACAAGCTAAACTAGTTATAAATATATTTATTCTTCACTGTCGGGTCGCTCATTACTGGATCAGTGAGCTGCAGGAGATACTGACGGGCTGTCAGGAGAGAGAGAGAGAGGGGGAGAGAGGAAAAGAGAGCGGTATCGGTATCGGCCGATACTGATTCCGGCGATCGGCTCCACAATTGGCGATCGGAGCATCCCTAATAATTGTATATGATATGTTTTATAATGATTGAAAGTGTTATCAAAGCTGGTAAAGTTGCAGCTAGTTTGAATGACTTTGTATACTGCAGGGTAGCTTGTGGATTTACTCCAGGTGGAACTAAAGTCTGATTTAACACTTGATTATATTTCACATCATTCATCCACATCTGTGAAGTAACTAAAGGGATTAAATACATGTAGTGGAGTAGAAGTACACCATTTACCTCTGACTTATGTTTACTGCCAACCTAAAAGTACCTCAAAAATAGTAATCAATAATATATTGAAAAGTTATTTGGCTGATTGTTTTATATTGGCTCAGCCAGGTTATATGGGATGCCCAGTCTACGTACAGATGGGTCACTCATTTTGAAATATTAAACTTAGTTTTCTTTTCTAACATTTTTAATTGTTCATCCTCATGTAGAATGCTATTACGAAACACACATTTGGTTGTTTATAGCATAAAGAACATCTGATTTAATGTGAGGTAGGGAAATAATCATTTGAGTATAAGTATGTGTATATAAACATGTAATTTACAACAGCTGTAAGATACTTGAAAAGCTTGAAAATGCACCTTGAAAATGCTTGAAAAGTGCTTGAATTTGACTTTGGAAAAGGTGTAAGAACCCTGTATATATATATTTAAGCAATAGCTCACGACAGGCCTGAAGTGAGCTATTGCTTTTATAAAACGGTTACCAAGTGTGGCAATATGAAAGAAAAATACACACTCTAATTTAAATAGTTTTTATTAGTAAATAATGATGTTCAAAATAAAATAGTCCCTCCGTTGCCTTCTGCACGAAAAACATAGTGCGAGGTGGTTGCTATGCAACAACACTAACAGCTAGCAAACATATTAGACAGAGAGCGTTGATCCATTATTTGGCTATTTATTTACATTCATTTGTATGTTGCCGTTTATTGTGCAGCCTCTAAAAAACTGTCCAGCATCAGTAGAGTGGCTTACGAGGTTACGTGTATAGGTTGAGGTTGTTCTAGGCTGTTGCTTGGCGTGGCGAGAATATTGCTCCACTTTCTCCGGCCAGTTGGTCTACCTGCTCTTCACGTAGCTCTGCATGTCGTCGTTTAGGTGCTTTTTTTCTGGAGATAGGCACTGCTCAATCCACTCCTCTATAGTAAGGCCACCCCGGGGGTCGAAGTTAACTTTAAATGTTTCCATCTTAAAGATCCCATGTCATGGCCATTTCTACTGATCATAATTCCATTGTTGAGGTCTACTAAAATAGATTTATAATGTGCAATTTTCCAAACTCACATTGGTTTCTCATACAGCATCTCTGTAAAGTCTGTGTATTCACCGGTATTCACTCTCTGTCCTAAACGGCTTGTTTATATCTTATTTATTTATTTATTTATGCATTTTGTTTAATCTCTCCAGTTTTAAACGATATTTCTGGTTTACTGTCCTATAGTATACATTGGAATGATTTCAAACCTGTTTTTATTTATCCTAATAATTATAAAGGAGTGCCTTGGAAATATTTGTTAACATAAATTGTGACCAAACCGTTTGAGACCCACTGAGATAACTTAGACTAAAGTGAACTATCTGACACTCAGAGTCCTTTACCTCACTGAGCCTCTCAGTCTGACAGGACAGAACTCTCCCTCCACATTATTGTAGAAACAGCTTCTTATATCCGTTAGCGCAGCAGAAGCTAACAACAATCCCCGCCGGTACTGGTGCGCCCCCCACCCCTCTCTCTCCCTCACTTTGGCTGTGAGCTGCGGGCGCCTGATAAGCCCCCATCCCCCACTTTCATCACTTACAGCGCCCATCGTACAGGGCAAATGGAAAATGTAACCGGGGTGAAAAGGGTGTTATCTTTACTTAATTATGAATGTTGTTACATCAAGGCTGAAAATTCTTTTTTTTTGGTATTATATTTGTGTTTAATCTTGTGGAAGTGCAGATCCCCTGTCCTCCACCAGGGGGTGCTGCAGCACCCTCAGCACCCCTACTTCCCACGGCCCTGGCTGTGAGCCTCACGAGCAGTGAGGAGCTGCTGTAAGGAGCAGACAGGGCTTCCGTGTCGGCGAAACAAATACAGCGAGAACAAGCGAAACTCATCCTGAGCACACAAACACTCACAGCCGAAGTAAAAACAATAAGTGTGGCTTGATATTGAGTAAGAAAAAGGTTTATAACGCTGTGAGCATGGGTCTGCGGAGAGCATGGGTCTGCGGAGAGCATTTCTCCACGATCCCAACGTAGTAGTCCGAAAAACGTTTACCCATTTAACAATCGTGGTAGATACCTTGTTTGTTTTAAACATCATAAATACACAAACAACAATGAATACTTACAGGTTGTGTACCTGAACTCCCGCTGGTCCAAACAAAGTAGGAACAGCATCGTTCTTCAGTACGCTGTACATATCCGGCATGAATCGCTGAAAGGTTTGGGAAGCTTTGTTTCGTGAAAGGCTGGCAGAGGGTGCGGCCATAGCTCTGGTCGTGGCTACTGGGTATCCCTACGTAGCGATACCCAGGAAGTAAACAATGGAAAATGAGAAATCTCCAACGAGGCGTTTTGGGGTTTTGTTAGAGTTTTACTCGCGACAGGGTGTATTTTGAGGGTTTTTGACTCTGCAGACCTTTTACATGCATAAAAACCTTCATAACACACAAGGGGACGGGTAATAACCGGAAAAGCATGACATGGGACCTTTAAGCTTTGTTAGTTAGTTTCGTAACGGACGTAATGTAACAGTTGTGACGGTTGTAGCGGAGGGATACTGACTGAAAAGTAACTACAATTCTACCCGTGATATACGCTCATTATATCAGATTGTGTGTGTGTGTGTGTGTGTGTGTGTGTGTGTGTGTGTGTGTGTGTGTGTGTGTGTGTGTGTGTGTGTGTGTGTGTGTGTGTGTGTGTGTGTGTGTGTGTGTGTGTGTGTGTGTGTGTGTGTGTGTGTGTGTGTGTGTGTGTGTGTGTGTGTGTGTGTGTGTGTGTGTGTGTGTGTGTGTGTGTGTGTGTGTGTGTGTGTTGGGGCTGCAGTATTTAGTATCAGGCCAAAGAGCAGAATTAATTGTAATTCTTCTTCCTTTAGCTTCTCGTCCTCAGGAAAGCTGTTTTCAGAAGAGCACAGGATGGCGACTGCAAAATCAGGTGAGTCCAGTCAGATATGTCCACTCTGGATTCAAGACTGTCTCTGTCCATGAATATAAATTAGGTGTCACCCCAAACAAATATTCTGTAATTAAATACAAATAAACATTATGTAATAAAGAAATGCATCACAGCTACTTAGCTGTCTGGTTCAAGGGTAAATGGACTGTACTTAATGTATAGCGCTTTATCTGGCATTTACGACCCTTCAAAGCACTTTATCTACAAGTCTTCACCCATTCACACCTAATTCATCCAGAGCAGTGCCACTTTCTCTGGGGAACTAACACATGCCATCGGGAGCTACTCAGGGTTAAGTATCTTGCCCCGATCCGTTGACATCTTGACTGCACAGGCTGGGATCTAACCCACAACCTTCTTGTTCAGTATTTTGTAGTTAAAATCAGTTTTTAGTAACTAAACCCCTTCATAGAGAGGCTGAAAACATTTTTTTTAACATTACAGCATGTTAAAATATTCTAGTAGTCTCAAGAATATTTAAATAAACCTGAAAAGGTGTAAATATGTGACCTAAAGAAATGCATCGCAGCTGCTTGGCTGCCCTAGGTTCACTTTCCGGATTTCTTCTCTTTTTTTGTTGATATTGTGTTCTGGTAGGTCTGGGTGTCTGTTTCCTATCTTGTTTAACATTGTAGACCACTGTACTGTCTATTTTAAGTTACATGTAATAAATAATCAAATTCTTTCTCTTTCAAATAACAGATCGTCCATATCCTCTAAAGCGCCGGAGCAGCCTTGAGTGGCTGCCACCTGACAGTGAGTAAAACTGAGCTGTGTTACTCTGCTTTAAGAACACCTGAGTGTTCAGTATTTTGTAGGTAAAATCTGCTGTTAGTAACCCTTAGGTTACACAGCAATGAAACTATACATTAATACATGGAAGTCTGCACATAGTCACCATTTCTAATTCTTTGTTTCTCACAGTGTCTGAGCTGAGGGTTGTTCTGCTGGGGAACAGCTGGTGTGAGAGGAGTTCAGTGGGGAACTTCATACTGGGAGGGACTGTGTTCAACACTGAGGAAGAACTGGACCACTGTCTGAGAGTGAGTGGAGAGATGGAGGGGAACAAAGTAGTTGTGATCAACACCCCAGATCTGCTGCACGCCAACATCTCTGAAAACAAACTGACAAAACATCTGGAAGACTTTGTTAGGCTCTCTGATCCTGGACCTCATGTGTTCCTGCTGGTTCTACAGCCTGAAGACTTCACTGAGGGACACAAACGGAGACTCTGCAGAGTCCTGGAACTCTTCAGTGATCAGTCATTTGATCATTCACTGATGCTGATATCACCATCCAGAGAGGAGGGTTCAGGTTTAATGGAACAAGACATGGAACAACCCCCATTACAAGACATGATCAGAAAATGTAGATACAGATACTTGAAGTGGAAGAACCTTCAACTTCCAGAGCTGTTAACACGTTTGGGTCAAACTGCAAAGGAGAACAACGGAGAGCCTGTGAGCTGTGATGTGTTTGAGGACACCACATCTGCTTTACCTGGTGATCATCTAAGTCAAAAACCAAAGGAAATATGGCATCCCCTCACCCTCACCGAAGCTGTTAAAGCTGCTGGTATGTGAAGGACAATGAAAAGTTGTTCATTTAAATCAGACGTGATAACATTTGAATATTAAGCTGCAAATTAATGATGTTCCCTTTCACAGGGCTGCGTGCGGTTAAGACAATCACTGCACAATTCCAATGGTCAAACCCTGTGACTGACAGTAAGTAAATTCGTCCCAGTGCTATTTATGTATTTGTAGCATCCTTTCTTCAGTATTAACAAATCCCACAACACAATTTATTTTTCTAGCCCTTAAGGGAAAAGAAACACTAAGATACAATTAAATAATCCACAATAAATACGAGTTAACTACTGTTTCCTGCAGTGGGTATACTGAGTTTTTGTAAAACCCGTTTTCATAAATTGGCTGCAGCGGCTAAACCAGAACACTGGCTCATCCAGGAAATGATTGGAGATAATGTGAGTGTATTTTAATTCTCTTAATGAGTTAATGTAATTGAATTCTTCTATCTGTATTACAGCATCTGCATTCAGAATTGTGCTGTTGGGAAACAGTCGAGACAAAAAGCAAAGAATCTGTAACTTTATAACCGAGGGCAAAGGTGTTAGTTTCCCAATAAACATCTCAAGCACACAATGTGGGACAACCCATGGAAAGTGGAAAGGAAAACAATTAACAGTTCTGAAGACTGCAGACATGTTCAGTCTTTGTGAAGAGAGCACGAGAAGAGAGGTGAAGAGCTGTGTGAGTCTTTGTCCTCCTGGACCCAATGTCCTTCTGCTGTTAGTGAAGCCTTCTGATTTCACTGAAGAGAACAGACTAACACTGAAGTTCATCCTGAGTCTGTTTGGTCCAGAAGCTTTTAAACACTCAATGGTCATCATGACACACAAAGTGAATCAAAGAGAAGAGAAGTCCCACATCGTGAATCAGCTGCTTGAAGACTGTGGAGGAAGACTCTACAACATGGTTGAACAGAGCCATGATTCATTGATGGAGAAGATTGAGAAGATAGTGCATGGAAACAAAGGAACGTTCCTCACCTTCACTGAAGACATCAAACCAGCTTTGAACCTGGTTCTGTATGGGAGGAAAGGAGCAGGGAAGACTTCAGCAGCCAAGGCCATTTTAGGTCAGGCAGAGTTTCCTTCAGTCTCCAACTCCTCAGAGTGTGTTAAACATCAGGGAGAGGTGTGTGGACACAGGGTTTCCCTGGTGGAGCTGCCTGCTTTGTGTGGAAAACCTCAGCAGGAAGTGATGGAGGAATCATTCAGGTGTGTCTCCCTCTGTGATCCTGAGGGCGTCCATGCCTTCATCCTGGTCCTACCTGTGGGTCCCCTCACTGATGAAGACAAGGGAGAGTTAGAGACCATCCAGAACACATTCAGCTCTCAAGTCAACAACTTCACCTTGATTCTGTTCACTGTGGAGTCAGATCCTACAGCTCCAGCTGTTGTTAACTTACTAAAGGAGAACACGGACCTCAAGGAGCTGCGTCAGAGATGTGGAGGAAGACATGTTGTTCTCAACATCAAGAACCAGCAGCAGATCCCAGAGCTGTTGGATGCTGTGGAAGAGATGAGAGGTAAAGGATCTAGGTGCTTCACAAAGGACATGTTCACCAAGGCTCAGATGGAGAAGGTTGTAGAGGTGGATAACACTAACAGAAGACTTAAAGCTGAACTGCAGGACGTTAAAAAGAAAAGTGAGATGGGAGATGTTGAAGAAAGTCAGAACAGAGAGTGTCTCAGGATGGTGCTGATTGGGAAGACTGGCAGTGGGAAGAGTGCAACTGGAAACACTATTTTGGGCAAAAAACCTTTTACATCGACTCTAAGCTCAGAGTCAGTGACCAAGTTTTGCGAAAAAGAAACAGGAGAGATTGATGGACGACCTGTCGCTGTGGTGGACACCCCCGGTCTGTTTGACACCACACTGTCCAATGATGATGTTCAACAGGAGATGGTGAAATGCATCAGCATGTTGTCTCCTGGACCTCATGTGTTCTTACTGGTGCTGACGATCGGCCGATTTACACAAGAGGAAAAAGACACAGTGGAACTGATCAAGAAATGTTTTGGCAAGAGATCTGGAGATTTCATCATCGTCATATTCACCAGAGGAGATGATCTGAAGGGTGAACCGATTGAGAGTTACATAAAACGGTCCGGTGACTTTTTGAAAAAACTGATAAATGACTGTGGAGGGAGATACCTGGTCTTCAACAACACAGATCAGACAAACCGCATGCAAGTCAGAGAGCTGATGGAGAAGACCAACAAAATGCTGAAAGAAAATGGTGGCAGCTGCTTCACCTCAGAGATGTTCCAAGAGGCCGAGGCGGCCATACAGAAGGAAGTGGAGAAGATCCTGAAGGAGAAGGAAGAAGAGATGCAGAGACAGAGGGAGGAGCTGCAAAGAAAACACGAGGAGGAAATGGAAGAAGTGAAGAGAAGAACGGAACAGGAGAGAGATGACATTCAGCAGGAGAGAGACAAACAGCTTCAGGAGATGGACGAAAAAATCCACAAGGAACGAGAGGAGAGAAGGAGGGAAGAGGAACGGAGAAGAAAAGAGGACATGGAGAAGAAAAGGCAGGATGACATTACAAAAAAGGAATGGGAGGAAAAACTTGAAGGAGAGTTGGACGACAAAAAAAAAGAGATGAGAAATCAGAAAGAAGACTGGGAGAAGGAGAGAGGAGAATGGTGGGAAAAACAACGTCAAGAAAATGAAAAGAGACGACAAGAGGAGCAGACAAGACTTCAGAAGCTGCAAGACGAATACGAGCAGGAAAGAGAACAACTTGAAATGAAAAGAAGAGAAGAAGATCTAAAGAGAAGTGAACAGAAGGAGAAGGAGGGACAGGAATTACAGGGAAAACATGAGAAAGAAAAGGAGGAGATGAAAAATAAATATGAAGAGGAGGCCAGAAAACAAGCTGAAGAATTCAACGGGTTCAAACAGGAATACTCCAAGGACTATGCCGCCTTGGTGGAGAAGCACATGGAGCAAATAGAGGACCTGAAGAAAGAGCATGAAGAACAAAAGAAACAGTCCCAACTGCTACAAGATCTTTCCAGACACAATGAAACACAATTGCAAAAGACAAAAGAGAGTCTTGAAAAAGATATAAAAGAAATGGAGGAAAAACATGAAAAAGAAGTCGAAGTACTAAAAAAAAAATACAAGGACAAACGGTGTGTCATCGCCTGATCTTCCCACTGACTCGTGCTCATCATGATGATACCAGATGGAACATCATGTCAACTTCATTCAACAGCAGGTTTCTGGATGATACTTCTCAACAGGGTCCAATCAGGAGACTAAGAAATACAAAACCAATTGTGACATTTTCACCTTGTAAATATTTTTAAATGACGATTGCACAGTTTCCAAACAGTTTTAGTTTTTTTTGAAGCCCCGAAAATGTTTTTACTGATTGCAAATGTTAGCTTTAAAAACAACTTTTTACTTTGTTTATCTGTTGTAATATTCTTCTGGACACTGTATGTGAGCACTCGATAACGTTTGTTGTATTTTGTATTATCAACATAAACAATTTTGCAAGTTAGAGAAGTCATCTATATTGAGTTTATGTGTCCAAACTCATTCTATCCCTGTGTAAAAATGACTGGCTCTTAGCTGCAATAATCGTCACAGTAAAGCTGCGTTCACACCGGATGCGATGAGGTTTTTGGGGGTGGCGCGATTACATGTAAAGTCAATGCAAAGACGCGGTGCGAATTAAGCGGTTGACGCGAATGCCGTGGCGCGATTGAGGCGATTGGAGGGGGCCGCGACAACCGCTCGAGTTACATTTGTTCAACTCGAGCGTCAAATTCGCTTGACACGTTCTCGCGGTAGCCAATCCGCAGTGAGGATCTCAGCCTGCCGTCATTGACGTTGAAACAGAAAACCAAAACATCAGCCGTTAGCTGTTAGCACTCAGAGCTCACAGCTCCCCATATATTTTCAGAAACTGGACGAAAGTTAAACAAGTACAAACCACAGACTGTCAGTGTCATGGTGAATACAGTCGCTGGTTTATTTATGTCTGTAGGCCGTTGTTGTGAGTGTGGACGGTCGGAGCATAACGTTAGCTTAGCCTCATCGATCCATTCTCCATTCAGACAACAGGCATTTTAAAAGGTGTTTCGCCTGCCGTCTGTCTGCAGACTTGTCAAAGCATTAATTCATGGTTTTTACTAACCGGTATCAGTATGTTGTTACTTCATCATCATTTTGAAACGTGTATTACAATTAAATCACGGTCAAATATGTTCATTTAATATTCCATATGTCATATATTTATGTATATATATATTTGTATATATAATATCTACATGTATATTTTCTATTTCAACATGTACATGTACATTTTCTATTTTATCTTGTTTTATTGTAAAATGCCTTGTCTTTTATGCTGCTGCAACAAAAACAATTTCCCAAATTGGGATCAATAAAGTACCATCTTATCTTATCTTATGTTATTCTACGGACATATTTTTTATTATTCCGCCGGAATTTTGCACCTCTTCGCCTCCTGCATTGAACATCGCAGAAACTCCGTTCAAACATCAAACCGTTCAGCTCGGTCGGGAATCGATGGCTATTACTTTTCTCATTCATAACTTTCATAATTCCAGAGATATATCCCATAATACATCACATTTTTAACATGGAAGTCAATGGAGAAATTCTTCAGACTTCAACAAATCTTCATGCGACTTCAACTGCTAACTGTTCATTCATACTTTCACTCAGAAACCTCATTCCAACTTTAAAATGTTACACATCTTTCTGACATTATTCGTGTAACACAACTTTTAAATCTGATTCTTACTTTTAGAGATATTAAACATTGTTCAGACCTTGTTAAAGAGGTTTTCTTCAGATTTTAACATTAACTAGAGTGTGTGATGTCAAAGCTAGAGGGTAGGAAATCTTGAAATGTGCCTTCATATTTCTTTTTAAAACTGCCATAATTCCCAAACCCTACATTCCTGAGACATAATTTTTCATGGCAAACGTAGGAAAACATCTCGTAGCTTGAAAAAGGACAAATAATTAAACAAAATAATTAAACAAAATGCCTCTTGAGGGCATGAAGTGACAAAAACGTTCAACATGTCTCCATTAACACCCATTGTAATTTCAGGCTGATATTTCCTCACAGCAGCAGCCGCACACCTTTAGTTAAACTGCCAAAAAGGCCACATTATTAACCCGAAAGTACACAAAAATTACACTTCAGATACTCATCTTCCTTGACATGCTTCACGTTTTTGAAATTTCACAGATATCTGTTATCGTTCTTCCACAAAACGTTCACATGTAAGAGGTTTATCTCTCATTCAGAACAATGCACACCTTTGATCTCTACGGAGCTCGTTAGCTCAACTATAAACACCTGTGTAATGGAACACGATGATGTCATCACTCCAACTGACAGCAGTCAGTTCTAACTGTTCATTTCATACTCACACACACACACACTCTCTCTCTCTCTCTCTCTCTCACAAACACACAGACACACACTCTCTCTCACACACAGTCTCTCTCTCTCTCTCTCTGACACACACAGACACACACACTCTCACACACAATGTTCCAAACGGCCCAAAACTTCACAGGTTTGGTAACGATGCAGCCATCAGCGCATCTAAGCATGTTATGGGGTGTCATCAAATGCCGTTGCCATGGCGACAGATCATTCACCATCAAGTTAGTTCAAAAGTTTGCAGTTCAAATATTCTGCTGCTTTTCCAAGCCTTTTTACTTTCGTTTCTTCACTCATCACACATTCAAGCCCCCAGTGTTCATGTATCATTTCAATCTAAATTCTTCACTTTCTTCTTACACATTACATTTCAGCATAGCAGTTTAGCGTCAGCTTTTCAGCATAAAGCATTCCCACTAGCAATTTCTTCAGGAATTGCATTCTCTAGTTAGCATATGCTTCCTGTTCCTGTCATTATCATAACTATCAGTCATTTTTGTTTTACAATGTGTTTTGCCTCATTGTTGCTTTAATAAATATATAATTCAAATAATTACATGTTATTTCCTTGCAAATATCTATATATTTAGATTTATTTTTATATTGGATAATATTTAGTTACAATGTAAAGCTTTGGATCAAAGCACATACACTTCCTCAGCTGATAGAGGTTTCCCAGTAATGCATCAATAACTTTAATCATGTAATATAATTCTGAAATGGGCCATTGTGCTTTCTGGAGTACTTCAAGTAACTTTTGTTCTTAAGTAGGATTTTCATTCAAGGAATTTTACCCTGCGCTATTACTTACGTAAAATGTAGTACTTCTTCCACTTCTAGATATAGCAGTGACTAATAAAACATGAACCTAACAGTGGTGATGATTAGTAGAATATATTATGTATGCTACATAATATAATTGGCATGTACTGATGTTCTATTCTGATACTGATTAGAAGAGAACTTGGTTTATTGCAAAGTTCTTAGAGGAATTTACTTTGGTGTATTGGTGCAGAACAATGAACATTAGAAGAGGGAGTAACATAAATGCCAAGTACTACAAAAGTCAAGAAACAAAGATATATATATCTAAAAATACAATTATGTAATAAATAGGAAACAAATATTTGTTCAAGGTAGAAGTTTTGAGCAAAATATTGTCAATTGAAGGGGATGTGTAACAGTTCAGAATGTGGCTATCAATTGAATATAAAGTGAAGAGATACAAGTCCAAAAGTAGTTTTTGTCATCATGATCAGTTATGATTGTACAACCCCTGTCCCTAAATGTATTAATGAACTGCTTATTTGTTTGAGTTTGTATGTAAGCATTTTAAAGACATCACAGACATTCAATAAAAGACAAGGGAATTATAATTTAAGGGGATTATTTAAATTCACTAATGTTAGGGTGCGCACATCCAAGCAAGGTTTTTGTATCTCTGTGTGTGGGGTAAAGCTTTGGAACAGTTTGAATGAGGAGCTCAGGGGATGTCCTAACGTAAAACTGTTTAAAAAAAAGGTATAAGGACATGATTTTTGCAAGATACAGGGATGAAGTTGTTTAATCAGGTGTTTACGGTTTATTTATTTATTCAAAAGCTGATACAAAAATACAAAAAACGAAGGAGCAGGCGAGGTAACAAAATAAAATAACTAACAAACCACATCCAGCGGACAAAAGGAACGGGAGCAGACAGACGGACGGACGGACGGGAACAGGCACAGGCACAGCACATGGACAAGACCAGGGGTCCTTCTCAGGTCGATTAAATGGAATCCTTGCGTCCCTGGGTGTTTCTCAATCGCGAGTACGCTTGCTTGGTAGCACATGTCTGCCGAGCATCTTGCTTCAGAAGCGAGTCAAGAATACTTCCTGGCATTCAGAAAACAAAGAGTGGAACACGCTAGCAAGTGTGCAGGTGTGCGTCATATGAGAGGCCCCGCCTTACATCTTCCGCCACAGATTTGGGGAAATTGGTCCGTGCGCAAAGCATTGTGGGGATTTTAAGACCGAGGAGTCTACTCATGTGCAGCCTCGATATTTCTCCAAACGGAGTACGCCGGGCTCGGTAGATTTCCAAGTATGCTGGACATTAGAACAGTCCTTCGGCGGCACTCGATGACGTAGTATGCTTGAAATAGTGGCTCTGCAGCAGCTTTACTCGCGATTGAGAAACACCCCCTCACTTGCGTCGTTTCCCTGCGTCTAGTCCCTCCCACCAGGGAAGCATGGAGAGACGCAAGGAAACCACGAGAAGCAGGGAAATTAGCTTTAAGAGCAATGGGACGTCCTTTCCTCCGGAGCGTCACGTGAAGCGACGTCCGTTTGTGATGACGCCGCACAGCTGATCGTCTGACAGCAGCTCTGTCCCCGTTATTTTCACAAACACCCCCGCTATGTTGGTACACATTTACTGACACAAACATTTGTATCATCTGTTGTAGACCCAAATACATTAAATAAAATAAGAACTCATTCTCAAAAAAGATAAACGCCATTCTTAAAATGTATAAACGAACAATAGTTAGATTAATATTGATTAGAGTGCACAATAGAAATAAAATAATTGAGAGAAGAAAAAGAGATATGTTATCTATCAAAACCCAGTTAGATTAAAGGGGACCTATCATGCAAAATGCACTTTTGTACGTCTTTTATTCATGAATATGTGTCCCCGGTGTTCCAGGGAACTCACCAAGTGTCAGAAAACACAACCCTCTCTATTTTCCTCCATACCCAAATCTCTAAAAAAGGGGCTGCAACGGATCTGATAAAAACTGATCCAGATTTGAACACTGTCCTAACGTCAGGACAGTGGCGCTACGGCTATTGGGCCAACTCCACCAATCAGGAGGAGACAGCCACGGCCATTGCCGTTCGAAAGCGCTGGAGACACTGTAGTACATATGCCAGGCCTCTAGATGGTGCTGTTCTGCCCTTATCTGCCCTTACAAACACAGAGCTAAACAATGTCAAATTGAGCAAAATGAGGCATGGCTAAAATGCATGATCTGTTTGGTATTTTGCAAAAAAAAAGTATAAATATGCCTTATATAGGTATGGTCCTACACTATATTATTCAAATATACCATGATAGGTCCACTTTAACAATCATTGGATTGCACACTTAGTTTGTTTGTGTGGATATGTAGCACATTAACATGTTAAATAGCACTTAATGACTGACTGAATGGAAATGACAATAAATGAAAATGTAAAACGAAAAAGCGATCATGAAAATGTTTCCAATAAATGAATAAAATGATTTTTCACCACTTTGTTGTTCAGATATATCACATATTTGTAACTGAATGATGCATTCATTGAAACAAAACACAGTATGAACTGAGGAGTGAGTCCCGTGAGTTTCATGTGTTTTCTCCACTCCGCTGGGAAACTGCTCTCATGTCAAGAAGCATCAGATCAGTGCATGCACTGCATCGTCCAATCAGTGAGCGATACACAGTAAGGGGGCGGAGCGAGTATCTGAGGATTTCATCGGAGGATGGTCTGGTGGTTCCTCGGTTATCGCTCCTCGCTCCTCGCTCCTCGCTCCTCCGGGAAACAAATAAGAGCCATGGGACGCTACTCAAGATGGCGCAGACAAATCAACTTCCGGTGATACCGAGGACCGAGGAGCGAGGAAATGAAAATAGTCCACCTGAGACGCAGCCTAAATAAAAAGGTGGAAAATGAAAACATAAATCCA